TGAGGGGGGTTTGGGAACCAGACCATGGTCCTCTGCAAGAATAGGATGTGTTGTTAGTAGCTGAACCATCCTCCCAGGTCCTGGTTCTCTATTTTGATTGGTAGACTAGGTCATATAGCATTTTCTACTGTCCATGTCTGTTCCCATAATGTGATTATGCATCACACATAGGCATACAATGATAAATAAATGGAAAATAAGGGCTTTCCCCAGAAGGCTGCCAGAAGACACAATTTTGCCTTACTGTGTGCATGCACCCCAAACCAGTTCAGGGCAGACTGGCCCTTCTAATCGTCAACCCTGGACACATTGGGAACACACTGGAAGAAAAACTCTCGGGGTTGGAGAGATGGCTCAGCGGTTAAGAGCATTGTCTGCTCTTCCAAAGGTCCTGATTTCAATTTCCAGCAACCACATGGTGGCTCACAACCATCTGTAATGAGGTCTGGTGCCCTCTTCTGGCCTGCGGGAATACACACAGACATAACATTGTATACATAATAAATAAATATTTAAAAAAAAAAAACTCTCCCAGTTCGATTGTCACCAGAGGTGGGGAGGCGTCCCCTCTTGTTTGGGGAAGGGAAGGTGTACAGCCTGATGCAGATGTGGACCAAGGATTCCAGGTTGCTCTGTGTACTGTTTGGAAACAGGTGTGCTTGCAGAGTACATTCGGGAATTTGGCCACCAAGTGAACTATTAAAAGAAGTGGGTGAGCATAACCCAAACCCAGTGGGAGTCCCAGAGCACTAAACTGTCGCCTGGGCTTGCCTGCCGTTCAGGTGAGTGGCTAGCACACAGCAGTAACTGCCACATGACTGGTTGACATAGGGGCTGCAGAGACATCAGCTCTCGCAGAGGGCCCACAGTCGGTTCCCGGCACTCAAGTTGGGCCCTCACAACCTCTTACCACTTCTAGGGGACCCAGAGCTCTCCGGCCTCCATGGACACAGTGCAGAGCCTTGCAGGGACCCGCTAGAAAACAGGAGCAGTCGTTGAGAGCCAGGCCTATGGCTGTCGTCTCAGCACCTTTGATGCAGAGGCAGGAGGATGGCTAGGGATTTGAGGTCAGGCTGGAGTGCAGTATGAGACTCAGTCAAAACCCCCAAATAACACACATGTGGTGGTGCACATCTTTAATCATAGCTCTTAAGGGGTAGAGGCAGGTGGATGTCTGTGAGTTTAAGGCCAATTTGATCTACAGAGGGAGTTCTAGACCAGCCAGGCCTACATGGTGAAATCCTGTCTTCAACAAAAGAAAACTCAAAAGTTGAAAAAAACCCAAATAACTAGATATGTAACTCACTAGAAATTTCAAAATGGTGGTCCCCCTCCCCCATGACTTTTCTATTTTTATTGCTTGGGTTGGGTTTTCTCTGTCTGAAGAGCTCATTCACTGAGGCTGATTTTGTGCCTTTGAGTGGAGGGAAGGACTTAAGACAGGCATCACCTTCAAAGGTTGGTGGGTTTTGTTTTTATTTTTTATTTATTTTTTAAAATTTTTTCCATGATTTTTATTGAGCTCTACATTTTTCTCTGCTCGTCTCCCCCTTCAGCCCTCCCCCAAGGTCCCCATGCTCCCAATTTACTCAGGAGATCTTGTCCTTTACTACTTTCTACTTCCCATGTAGATTAGATCTATATAAATCTCTTAGTGTCCTCATTGTTGTCTAAGTTCTCTGGGATTGTGGTTTGTAGGCTGGCTTTCTTTGTTTTATGTTTAAAAACCACCTATGAGTGAGTACATGTGATAATTGTCTTTCTGGGTCTGGGTTACCTCACTCAAAATGATGTTTTCTAGCTCCATCAATTTGCCTGGAAAATTCAAGATGTCGTTATTTTTTTCTGCTGTGTAATACTCCATTGTGTAAATGTACCATTTTCCTTATCCATTCTTCAGTTGAGCGGCATTTAGGTTGTTTCCGGGTTCTGGCTATGACAAACAATGCTGCTATGAACATAGTTGAGCACATGTCCTTGTGGCACGATTGAGCATCCTTTGGATATATACCCCAAAGTGGTATTACTGGGTCTTGAGGAAGGTTGTTTCCTAATTTTCTGAGAAATCACCACACTGACATCTAAAGGGGCTGTACCAGCTTGCATTCCCACCAGCAATGCAGAAGTGTTTCCTTTTCCCCACAACCTCTCCAGCATAAGTTGTCATCAGTGTTTTTGATCTTGGCCATTCTTACAGGTGTAAAATACAATCTCAGAGTTGTTTTGATTTGCATTTCTCTGATGACTAAAGATGTTGAGCATTTCCTTAAGTGTCTTTCAGCCATTTTAGATTCCTCTGTTGAGAGTTGTCTGTTTAGGTCTGTACTCCATTTTTTTATTGGATTATTTGTTCTTTTGATGACCAATTTCTTGAGTTCTTTGTATATTTTGGAGATCAGACCTCTGTCTGATGTGGGGTTAGTGAAGATCTTTTCCCATTCTGTAGGTTGTCGTTTTGTCTTGTTGACCGTGTCCTTTGCTTTACAGAAGCTTTTCAGTTTCAGGAGGTCCCATTTATTAATTATTTCTCTCAGTGTCTGTGTTGTTTGGGTTCTATTTAAGAATTGGTTCACTGCACCAATGCATTCAAGTGTTCTTCCAACTTTCTCTTCTATAAGGTTCAGTGTGGCTGGCTTTATGTTGAGGTCTTTGGTCCATTTGAACTTGAGTTTTGTGCATGGTGATAGATATGGGTCTATTTTCATTCTTCTACATGTTGATATCCAGTTATGTCAGCACCACTTGTTAAATATGCTTTTTTTCCATTTGATATTTTTTGCTTCTTTATCAAAGATCAGGTGTTCGAAGATGTGTGGATTGATATCTGGGTCTTCTATTCGGTTCCATTGGTCTTCCTGTCTGTTCTTATGCCAGTACCAGGCTGTTTTCAGTACTGCAGCTCTGTAGTAGAGTTTGAAGTCAGGGATTGTGATGCCTCCAGAAGTTCTTTTATTGCCCAGGATTGTTTTGGCTATCCTGGTTTTTTTGCTTTTCCAAATGAAGTTGAGTAACGTTCTTTCGAGGTCTTTGAAGAATTCTGCTGGGATTTTGCTGGGCAAGGTTGGTGTTTTGATAGGGTTATTGAGATATGGTTTTACTTTGTAGCTGAGGCTGGACCTGAGACTGCCCTGCCTCCATTTCTCAAGGGTTGTTCGCATGTGTTTCCAGCTCCGCCCCCACTCCACACCAACTCCATCCCTCCTCCTGGGAGTGGGATGCTGCAGTGTGTATCCTCTGGGTCTGGTCCACGCCACTGAACATCATGTCACTGGAGCTAGGACATCCTTCCATTTGTCTGCAGATGTCCTAGCGTACCGTCTTCTCTGCTACCCTGTCGAACGCCGTATTTAATCAGTCACCAGCCACACTGGGGTGACTTCCCCATTGGCTCTTGTTGGGCGCGTGGGCATGCCTGTCGTGGCACACACGTGGAAGCCAGAGGAGAACATCTAGGAGTTTGAGTCCCTCCAGTCTAACGTGAGATCTGGACAACTAGGCCCGAGCCCTCGGCTCACCTTTCCAGGACAGTACGCAAACGCCATTCCCTTCTAGCCCCTCTCAGCATTCGCACGGCTGTCCCTCCTCGGTTATGTCCCTTTACCCAACCTAGTCTCTCTGATAGTGGCTTAGCGCCCTGACTCTGCAAACAAGGGAGGGCAGGGAGCTTCCTCCCCATGCTCTTGCACTCACAATCTTCCTGTCTCCACCTACCAAGCACTAGGAGAACAGGCATGTGCCACTGAACCTGGTTTATGAGGTGTGAGGCTGGGACCCAAGGCTTTGGCATTGAGTCTAGGCTAACGACTTAAGCCCCAGTCCTGGCCTCCAAATAAAAAGTGAGAACAGGTCTGTGTGTGCAGCGTGAAAGTGGGGGCCTTGGGTTCTTCCTCAGTATAGCAGGGTATTCAAACAGCCATAGTCATAGTCTCTGGCTGTCGTGGCACACACCTTTAGTCCCAGCACTCTGGAGGCAGAGGCAGTAGGATCTCTGTGAGTTTGAGGCCAGCCCTTTCTACAGAGCGAGTTCCAGGACAGCCAGGGCTACCCAGTTAGACTCTGTCTTGAATAAAAACAAACAAAATTAACCAACCAACCAAAAACAAACAAACAGCAAACAGCTCTAGTCTACAGAAGAGCACTGACTCGGTCCTTTCCTGGGGCTGAGACTGCTGACCATTTAGAATGGCCCCACTTCAAATGTGCACTGTTACAGCCACAGGAAGAACCACTGGACAATCCTGCATGTATGTTTTTCAAAAGGCTTAAATTAGGGGGCTGAAGAGATGGCTCAGAGGTTAAGAGTCCTGAGTTCAATTCCCAGCAGCCACACAGCCATCTGTAATGAGATCTAGTGCCCTCTTTTGGCTTGCAGACATACATAGAGGAAAAATGCTGTATACATAATAAATAGATTAATCTTTAAAAAAAAAAAGACATATCTTAAATTCTGTGTGTCTGTGTGCAAGCTCCTGCACCTGTGTGCAGTGCCCGAGGAGGCCATAAGAGGGCGCTGAAGCTACGTGCCTCGGCTGCGGGAGACCCGGGATTGAAGCCACCATCCGGATTTTACAGATGCACAAACTGTAGACTTGGGAGGGAGAAAAGCGCTCAATCCATTAGATTTGTACGACCCAGATCGGTAAATTGACCTCCCGCTGCACCACACGGCAGCGACTGGTCGGCGTCCCCTCCCTCTCCAGGGCTCGTACCCGAAGCCGTAGTGCCATTTTGGGGCCGCTCGGGGCCCAGCGCGCAGGCGTCACACCGCCGCCTGGCCCCGCCCCCTCCACGTGCAGCGCACACTTAGCGCTGCTCTGCCTAGCTCGCCTCGCGCCTTCCTCCCTCCCTCCGCCCGCCCCCTACGGCGCCTGCTTCCTATTGGCTGACGGCTTCGTCGCTCGGCCTGCAGCCTGGCGGGCCCCCACCAGTACGGAAGTCCTGCCCCGCGCGCAGCTGTCCGGTCTTCCGATAGGCTCGGCGGCGTGTCTGTTGGCGAGGCCGGGCCCGAGTCGGCCGCTGGGGGCCCGCGGTCGCTGAGCGGCCCGGGCTGGCGGCGGTTTCCGGTTCAGCGCGGCTGGCGGGCGGGCGGCCCGGAGCGGTGGCGGCGGCGCCCGACAGACAATGAGGGCTGTGGGGCGGCGCTGAGCGGCGGCGGCGGCGGGAGCGACGCGGGCCCGGGGGCGGGGCGGGCGCCAGCCATGGACAATCAGGTGAGAAGCCGCCGCCCGGGACCGGCCTCCCATGGCGCGGCAGCCGGCCCTGCGCGCACACGACCCCGTGCGCTCTCGATGTGCACGTGCACGGCTCGATTCTCCCCTCCCCCTTTCACCGCGACCCCGGGATGACCCTCCCCCATCGCCATATCGGGGCGCCCTTCCCCCATCGCGACCCCACGCGCCCCTCCCCCACCGCGACCCCAGGTCTGTTACGGAACCCCCTGGGGGCATTCCAGCACCCCAGTGACACCCACTCCACCCCGGAGAACCCTTTTCTTGAGTGGGGAATCTACATCGCTCTGGAGCCGCCACTGCATCTTGGGCAACACAGCCTGGCCCAGAGCCCCCTTAGACACCCTTTAGAAACCCCTTAGACACCACTCCGGACCTCAGGGCTTCAGCACCCTGGGAAACTCCATTTCGTTTCAGAGGTCCTGGAGGCATGCCTTAGAACCCCAGTGTACACACAGACTCCCGAGGCGCCTCTCAGGATCCCAGGGCTTTAGCACTCTGGACATCCCAGCCCGTTCGGAACCCTTTGGGATTCCCCCTTGGAGCTTTAGTGCTACCATGGCACCCTGGGGATTCCCCCGCCGGGTCCACAACTCTCCAGGAAGACTTGGAACCCTATAGCCACTCACAGCACCTTAGGGGTCCTATTCTGGTTCGGAATCCTCAGGAATCCTTTGGCATCCATCAGAATTCCAGAGCCACCCAGGCTGTCTGTGAACCCCAGGGTACTCACAGTTCCTGTGGATCAAAACCTAGGCAGACTCCCCTCAGAGAACTCCAGTGCATCCCACAACCCCTGGCACCCTTGTCAGGCCCAGAACCCTTGGAAACATGTCTCAGAGCTCCAGTGGAACTTCCAGCCTCTGGGGTCCCAGCGTGGCTCTGAACCTGTGCAGACTCGAGTAAAGTGTCCAGGAGCTCTCGGTCTGCCCAAATCCCCTTACATGCCACACACTTCCCCATACCTGGCCCTCCCTCTGCGGAGGGAATTCTTCCTGAACCTGTGGCCCTAAGGCTTCCCAAACTCCATGAATCCCCAAACAGGTACTTGTGTACCAGTTGGCCCCAAATGTTTTGAATGTTTCTTGCCCCAGTTAGACCCGCTCCCAACTGAGATACTACTTCAGGCCACGTCCCCATTCTTCTGCATGGCCTGCCCCTGCTCTCCTACCCCTGTGCACATGACTGCCTCCGGGAACTGACTTCTGCTGCCCCATTGACCCACCCTGCTGCCCACCCTCGTCTGTGCCCAGTGCTGAAGGGTGGCACCTTCCTTCAGACACAGACCAAGGGCAGTCTCTGCTCTGATCTGGTACCCCACAAGCTCTTCAGACCCCTAAGACTCCTGTTACGTCCCTTGGGTTTGGCCACCATTGCTCCTGGACCTGTTTTAAGACTGTCCAGTGTCCTCCATCTGACTGTGATCTCGGCCAGCCGTGCTGTACCATCTTTCCTTTCCCCTACCCCACTCCTCCCCTCACACTCCCATCGCTTGTCAGCCTCACCTAGCCACAGGTGGATTCCCCAGGCTCCCACTGGCAGCCCTCCCACTTGGTAACCAGCGCTGCTGTTGGTTCCTGAGTCCCTTCTGGCTACTGTGCCTGTATCATCCAGATCTCACCAAGTGAGCTCCTCCCCATCTTCAAATTACTCCCACCAGGGTCACATCTCCCCCTTCCTTCCCAAGCCCGAGTTTTCAGGGGCGCTCGTCCTGGGAAGGTATGGGATTGTGGGGGTGGCAGTTGATGGCTTCCTCTGCTGTTCGCAAGGGCAGGTTGGGGCATTCCTGACTGCTGGCGCCATGGAGGCGGCTTTGTCTGGTTTGGCCATGTGGCTGTGTAGTTTCAGGTGCATGGGCCAGGGACCTTCCTGTGTCCCACTATCCATGGGCAGGTGGCAGGTGCCATCACTCTTGGATCTGGTGTGTTTGGCTTTCTGCTAGCAAACAGACAGACTGCTTTGCAAGCCTGCTTGCTACCTGGGCTCTTCCTTGATTGAACCTCACACAAAGTCTCTGTCCCTTCAGCACCCTCTGCACTCAAAAGTGCAGGGCATGGCCTCTGTCCCTACCAGAGTCTCCACCAGAGATTGGAGGCCATTCCCTCTGTGATGTGCTGGGTGCTGTCACTTCATGGCTGGGATGCTGAGTAAAGGTGGCAGTCTCAGGGGCAGTGGGGAAAAGGCTCCTCTCAGCCTGAGCTCAGCTGTGACTGTAGCTGCTTTTAGCTTTTAGCCAAGTAACGTGAAAAATTGAGACTTCAGGTCCCAGGCAGCCACCATGACTGAGCACCTGGCCATCCCGGAGGCTGTCCAGACAGGACCCTGCCGTCGGAAATGCTCTGGTGGCGCTGAGCTGGGTTGTTGGTCTGCATTGTCATCTGCCCTTCCTTCTCTGCCAGCTCCAGAGAACCCAGCAGCTACCCCCATTGCAGCTGGGAGACCTGTGTGGGGAGTGCAGGTGCACAGGTAGAGTCCCAGCCTCCCTCCATCCAGGGCTGGACCCTGGGTGCTGACTCTGAGGTCAGTGCAGAGGCAAGCACATAAGTCGTAGTTTGCTTTTTCCTCTGGGCTTCTTGCTTCCCTTATGGATATGAAGGCCGGGAAAGTGTCTGAGATGTTCCCTTCGTGCCACCCTGTCCCCTCCAGTGCTGTCTGTTGTATTGGATTTCTGTGCTGAGCAGGGCCATGGCCAGGACTGCTACTCACCTTGGGGAGGGATGGAATGGAATTGGTTTGTTGGGTACAATGCTGGAAAATGAGAAGGGTCTGAGAGTCCAGTGGGATTCCCCAGCAGACAGCTAGAGAGGTGTCAGCATCCAGTGTTCCTGATCCCCAAAGAACCTGGGAGCCCCCTTCCCAGAGTCACAGGCCTGGCCTCAGAATGGGTGCAGTGTGGTCGCAGGTGGCACACAGGCCCACAGCCTGGCTGTGCTGCACACCAGGAGCAGAGACTTGGCTCAGGTGGGGAGGTTGGAACAGTCAGAGCCAGAATCTTTTCCTGATGTCCTGAGTGTTGCTGCCTCTCCATAGGAGGCTGTGGGTAAGGTGCTGGAGCTGGAGCCACATCCCTGGTCCTCTGAAGCTAGTCTCAGGCTTTCTTACTCTGCTTTGCAGGGGTGAGGGGCCTGGACTGGGATTGCCGACAGTTGAAACACCCCTGCCCAGGGCTGTTGTCCACATCCCTAGGAGACACATGGTGTCTGTCCTAGTGTTGTGGACACTCCTCATCTGTCTTCAGTACTGGGCATATCCATGTGGACGCACACCTCTCCCTTCCCAGCCTCTTCTCGTCCCTCTGTCTTGAGCCTTGTGCCCTTTCAGAAGGGGTGACAGTGGTTGGCGCACAGGGCCAGAGCTGCTAATTAGTTTTATTTATTTATTTATTTATTTTTGGCCGTCCTCCAGACTCATCTTGTCTTTTAGTCCAGTGCTTTTCGCTTTAGTGATCATCTTAGGGCACCTGCTTCCCCCGGAGCCCTGTCTTGGATTAGAGGGACAAGGTTCTAGAGAGTTCAGTTGACTTGGTCTTGTGTCACCAATGCTCTGTGGGGTCCTGGGTCTGGGTCTGGCTCCTTCCCCATCTGTGTGTGTGGACCTTGCCATGGGGCGGGCCTGACGTTTTTTCTTATTAAAGGGGAGAGCCAGGTACATACCAAGGTACTGGCTCCAGGAGCCAGGTGATAGATGTAATTACACCATAGGGTAACATGTGAATTCCCAGAGGAAAGGGCATTTGTTACAAAGAATTCCCTCCAGAAATCCGGTGAAAGCCTATAGGAAAATTAACAGCTAATGACTGCCTCCTGGGCCCCAGCTGGGCTGGGTGTTTGGGTGTGATAGAAGTAGATAGGTGGGAGAAGACAGATGGGTGGATGCGGTGGGTTGATGTGTGGGTGGGTGGGTGGGTGGGTGAATGGATGGATTGGTAGGTGGATGGGTGGATTGGAGGATATGTGAATGTATGATGGATGAATAGATGGATGGGTAGATGGCTGGATTTGGAATCACACAGACCTGTGACATGCGATATTTTAGCCCTTTGCCCATCCACACCTAGAGAGAGCAGTCTCCCTCAGTTAAAGGCCTATGAGATGCCCCACGTGCTGTTTGCCTGGTTGCTGGATTGGGATTCTAGATCTGAATGCCCTCTGCCAGTTGGCTTGGCAGCATGAAGCCTCCAGCCTGAGCTTAACTGTCCCCAGATGGCACTCTGAGACTTCAGGCCACTGCATCCCTTGGCTTCTGATCTCCAGCAGCAGGATGGGTGACACTTTCCTGGGCAGGTCCTGGGTTTCCTGGGTGCAGGCAGCAGGGTTGCTTTAGTTCCCAGTTCTGGGTTGTGCAGAGGCATCCATGCAACAAGTGCTCACAGTGCGGAGGACCTTCTAGGGCAAGGCAGCATGAGGAGAGCTGTGCTGGCTGTGGGAGTGCCGCTTGCATCAGCACCGCTCCTGGAGAACCAGCTGCTCGCTTTGCTCAAGTGTGGCTCTGCTTCTGCTGGGTTCAAGGGTTCCAGGTAGAGGACAGCAAAGAGGGGCCTGTGCGATAATGGCCCCTAGGTGGCTGGGGCTCAGCTCAAGCTGCTGCAGCTTCAAGTTCCTTTCTCATGTTGGTGGTACAGGTCCTGTGCTGTCCCACTACCACTATTTTTGGAAAGTTGTGGCCTCTCAGGGTCCAGCTCAGGAAGGACAAAGATGGTTAGGTATGGGCTGCTGGTCCAGACTGTGGCGTCCTCGGCTAGGGGTGTTGTGGCCCCAGTTGACACCGGCCCCTTGGGCATCACTGTCGCCAGCCAGTGCTTTGGGCACAGTCTACCACAGCCTTGAAACCTCCTGTTTACTTTGGCTTGTGCCGTGAAGTTCTGGCGTCTGTGTCTCCAACTCCGATGGAACTGTGGTCATTTGTTCTTTCGCAGTAGCCACTGTGCTGCCTGTGCTGTGACCCAACGGGGAGCCCCATGTCACCAGTACTACGGGGAGCCCCATGTCACCAGTACTGTCAGACAGCTGGCCCACAGCAGACCGAAATTCCAAAGTGGCTCAGAGAGTAGGGTCACCAGTGTTTAGGAGTCCAGGGAGCCTCCAGCTAGCAGTGGCCCTATTGATCACAAATGGCCGGGGTGCTGGCAGTATTGCTCCAGAGTCAGGTTGAACATTCTCCATCCTGTGCTCAGTGTGTCCACACAGGCATACATGTAACACAGGCTGGTCCTCTGCTGAGTCACTGGCAGGCACCAGACCCAGCTATGTGTGTCTAGGAGTTGATGTGTAGTTCCCCTGGATGTCCCCAGTACTTGCTCTCCCCTCCTTGCAGAGTTGCAGCTCTGCCCCCTTGTCCCAGAGATAGGTCTCTGTGCTTAGGTCCAGCTGCTTTCTCCTGCCAGTCCTCCGTTCCCTTTCTCCAGCCTCTACCCCACTCACCATTTGTGGTCGAGCACGTCTTTCAGGTGGCCCTGCCTTTACTCACTCCCTCGCATCTCCTACCTGCCTGCTCTCTTGCCAGCCCTCCAATAGACCTAGAACCATGGAGCTTTTCGTAAGGAACCAAAGGATGCTTGTCTTGGCAGAGATCTGAGTACACAGATTCTGGAGGGCTATGTGGTCAGGTGTCGGGAGAGGAGTTGGAGCATAGATGGGACCTCTAGGGTCTGGGCCCCTGGAGAGGGCTAGCAGAGACCAGTGTGTGGAGTTCCTGGCAGGCAGCCTGGACCTCCTGCCTGATTGTCTTGCTTATCTAGGTAGAGCACCTAGCAAGCCAGCTTAGCCTGGGTGACTGTGGGATCAGACGGGAGAGAAAGAGGTCCCAGCTCTCAGCTGCAGAAGGGTGGGGAATTCAAGGCCAGCCTGGGCTGCTTCGTGAGACCTCGTCTTTTAAAAAAATGCTGGGGTAAAGATGGGTGTGGTGGTGCATACCTTTAATCCCAGCAGGCGGACCTCTGAGTTTGAGGCCAGTCTGGTCACAGAGTGAGTTCTAGAAACCCTGTTTTGGAAAACCAAAATAATAAATGTATAAATAAATAGAAGCCTAGGATAGCTGGTAGTGATAGCACAAGATTATAATCCCAGCACTCAAGAGGGAGGAGGAGCTCTGAGTTCAGGGCTACATAGAGAAACCTATCTGGTGGTGAGTGGAAGGAGAAGGCTAGGATGGAGCATGGTGGTACATACCTTAAGTCTCAGCCCTGCATCCAAGCCTGGTGTATAGGGCAGGTTCTAGGCTGGCCAGGGTTCCATAGTGAGACCCTGTCTCAAAAATCAATGTCTAGGGAGCTCCTGATGCTGTAGCCCAGTGATACAGTGCTTGCCTATCATGCATTAAAGCCTCTCTTTAATACCCAGTACACACCACACACACACACACACACCCCAAAAAAAGAAAGTTCTCTTTGGGCTGAAGGGGTGACTCAGTAAAGAGTAAAAACTAGATGTAGTGTGTATTTGTGATTCCAGCCTTGGGGAGCTGGAGAAACTCAGTTGTTAAGAGCACTTGCTACTGCTGCAGAGGGCTGGAGTTGGGTTCCCAGCATCCTCAGGATGACTCACAAACACCTATAACAGCAGTTCTAGGGGACCTGGTTCCCTATTCTGACCTCCCCCGGTCCCTAGCCCCGCACACACAGATACACAGATAAACATGTAAATAAAGTAAAAATAGATCTTTAAAAAGGTAAATAGTATTGCTGAGGTGTCGTTCAAAGCCGTCTACTACCTCCATGTATGCACACATGTTCACCCACCTATGCACATACACTACATTAAAGACTTAAGGCTGAGGAGATAGCTCATTGGCTAAAACACTCACTGTGCAAGTATGAAGGTGGAGTTGAGCTCCCAGCACTCATATCAAAGGCAGACCAGCGCTGAGGAGGCAGAGGTCTCATGGCCTGTTCGTCCGGCTTTCTGTTGCTGGGGTAAACACCATGGCCAAAGATAGCTGGGGCAGGAAAGGAAGGGTTGATTTTGCCAACCTCACAATCACAGCCCATCTCAGAGGGGAATTGACGCCTGTTCCCCGTGCTTTCCTTAGTTCTGCTTTTTTATACGTCCCAGGACCACCTGCCTATGGTGGACTGGGTGCTCACATGTCAATCATTAATCAAGAAACACCACAGGCCAATCCAATAGAAGCCTTTTCTCAATTGAATTTCCCTGTTCAGAAGACTCTGGCTTATGTCAGGTTTTTAAAAACTAAGACCACCTGAGCAAACTAGCAACATGTAATAGCCAGACAAACATGCTCTTGGCTCAGGCAAGAGGCCCTTCATCGACGTGTAAGGTGGAGAATGGTGGGGAAGAACCCAGTGTCAACTTTGGGCCTGTGCACACCACTCACACACATACACGCACGTGTGCACACATAATGTGTCTAGAGAGGGTTTTCCGTGTTGCAGACATTCTAGTTGATTGCCTTTTGGAGGTGGCCCTGCCCTTGTGTTGGGAATCTCTTGGAGTTTAGTGTCTTTGCATTTACTTTGGGGCTGGCCTGAGCCACCTGGGGTTTCAGGATCCCGTGTCATACACCCTCAGGAGTGGGGAGAATGAGAGCGCTCCCTCAGGAGCTGCTGTGCTGGCTAGGCCGGCACCGTGGGTCCTTCAGCTGAGGACCTAGCTGTGCTCTGTGAGGTCCAAGTGGTCAGCAGGGGCCACAGAGCCTGTGGGAGGTGACCAGGGAAAACTGCCCTGTGGAGAGGACCTTTCTGTCCTCTTAGTGATGAATCAGTTGGGATGTCCATGGAGTTGAAGGGGCCACAATTGCTGTGCTGGTGGGAGGAGCCAGGACCTGCGCCCTTTCTCATGCTGAGAGTGTAGTACATGTGTATTTGCATCCTGGAAGCACACAGAAGCTCCCACAGCCAGCATTGACAGTGTCCCGGAGGCCAGAGTGCAGGGTAGCAGTGTGTAACTCTGCCTCCATGCTGACCTGGCCCTTCCCCTCTCTCTCTCTCTCTCTCTCTCTCTCTCTCTCTCTCTCTCTCTCCCCCTCTGTGCACTGTCCAGGTGAAGTTAGAGCTGGGGCACCGTGCCCAGCTGCGCAAGAAGCCCACCACTGAGGGCTTCACCCATGACTGGATGGTCTTCGTACGTGGCCCTGAGCAGTGTGACATCCAGCACTTCGTGGAGAAGGTCATCTTCCGACTTCATGACAGCTTCCCCAAACCCAAGCGTGGTGAGTGCCCTTTCCTTGGTCCTCCCTACCAGTGCCCCTCCAATTCCAGCCTGGTGGTTTGACTAGTGACTGCTCCGCCCACTCATGGGAACTGGAATAGCCAAGAACCAGCCCAGGCCAGAAGCAGTCAGGGTTATGGTTTAAGGATTCTGAGGGTCTCGCTGGGTAGACAAACCACTCTTAAGGGCAGCCCCATGCCCAGCAGTAGATGGCCAACACAAAATGAACTCAGTAGTATTTTGGGAGGGTTTTTTCCCTTTATCTTACAGTGCTTTGCCCCCCCCCTTCCCCACAGATCTTTGGCTTATGTTACTTGTGGGATTTCTCTGTGTGTGAACATGTATGTCTCAGCATCTGCAACTATTTCTTGTGCTTTCTCTTTAGCTCCTTTTTTTTCTTACTGTTTGCTTTTTTTTATTCTGGTTTGTTTGTTTTTGTTTTATTTTGTATTGTTGCTTTTAGATGCCTGTTTGTATTCTAATGAAAGAGGGGAAGAAAGGATGTGGATTTGGGTGGGTGGGGACATTGTGGGGATCTGAGAGGGGTTGGGGGAGGGGAAACTAATCAGAATATAATGTATGAAAGAATCTATTTTCAGTAAAAACCGTATACGCTTTAGGGTAGGATTACTGTCCTTGCACATGCATCTCTTTCTGGTACCGTTTCACCGAGGCTGCGGCACCTGCTTCCCATCACTCTTCTCCACATTTCCCGGGGGACAGTCTGTTGGGGTTTGTGATTAAAGGTGACTTTCTGTGGAAAGTCGTCCTGGCAGACTTTGGCAGATGGTCTCTATCAAGTATGTGTGTAGGCTGGGTCGCCTTCCGCGCTGCTGAGTCTCTGCTTTGCTCAAGCTGAGTGTGCTCCTGTCCTGCAGTGCATAGCACTTTTCTTTTTTGTGCTGTGTGATGGTGGAACACAGGTTTGCACTTCAGGTGGGTGCTTACACCTGGGTTACACCCCAACTCCAAGGATGGTGGATTCTGTGCAGGGGCTCCTCACTGGGGGGATCAGCTACCAACAAATACTGTTTTCTTGGGTGTATTAGTAATGGACAGAATGCTTTTCTGTAGTGAAGATCTGTTCTTCAGATGGAGAGAGCTGTTCCCGGACCATTTACCTTCGACATTGCTATGTGGACTGTAGCTCATGGATATTGACTCTGGGCCCGCAGTGGGTGACGGATGTCACATTGAAGGTTATGCTTGGGGCCAAGCACTTCTGAGGGCAGCAGGGGTTTCTTTTTCTGACTTTGTGCTGTCCGTCGTAATCCCCGTGCTCATCTTCTCCAGGTACCGTCCACTGCCTGCCGCTTACCATCCCGTCGCCCACCCACACCCACACGACAACCACCTGTCCGCTTCCCTCATCGTCCCCCAGCACCTTGGTTTCCTCCATCTTAGAACATAGCAGGCATGGCTGCCTCGCATAGCAGGTGTTCGTGGACGTGTCAGATGGGCACCTATCTCCTGACAGCCCTCATAGGTGAGCAGTCAGCTCAGCGGTGCAAGCTGCCTGTCAACCTGTGTTTTAAAGTGAGGTCAGCTGGCTGCAGTGATGCATTCCCTGCAGCCTCTGTACACTAAAGGGTCATGCATTGACGGATATGCCTGGACTATACGATGAGGCCCTGTGTTGCTATTTAGGCTAGTCCTGCTCGTGCCCAGTGCCAAGCTCACATCAATTGCCCTGTCTGTGGGACTGGCATCTGCAGAGACCTGAGTCCTCCACAGTGTTTACTGAGTACACATGGCCTCTTTTCCCTGTCAGCTTTGGCTGGTGGCTGAGGACCTGTGATAAAGACTTGTCTCTCTAGGAACCTCCACAGTACTCTTGGGGGGGCCTGGTTCTACACTGATGCGCTTCCCCCTTCCAGAGTGGGGGGTGGTGGATAGTGAGGCTGATTGTACAGATTGCAGCTCTGACTACGGATCGGGCTCAGGGTAGGGTCAGCTGGTTGCTCTCTGGACCTCACCTCTGACTTGAGGTGAGAGCACTTGAGGTCATTGTAGGGTCAGAAGGCAGGTGTTTCATCATTTGTGGTTCCCTGAGCCTCCTGAGTGCTGGAGTCACAGGTGCCCCACCCTGCCCCACAGTGACATCTTCTGTGGCCTGGACTTGCTTTTTCCCTGGGTGTATTTGTCTGCCCTCCCTTCATCCTGTAGAGTTTGTGGTGCCCTGCAACTACCCTCAGGCCTCCCACACAAGGTGTTCCTCTGTGCCCTCCACCTCTGCGCCCCTCCTACTCTGGGACCTTGGGTGACTTTTAATGAGAAGGTAGTTTTTAGTCAGCCCAGTGCCTCCATGACCACAAGCCTTGGCCATTGCCACCCAGCCACACCGTGCTGGTGAGGTTGAACCTTTATTGTTAGTTTTTTTTTCTTGAGCTTGTGCAGGCCTTGAACTAGCCCTGCAGCTGAAGATGACCTTGAACTCTTGACCTGCCTGCAGCTGCTTGGGGTTGAGATAGGAAGTCACTGTGTCACCCAACTTGGCTTCAAACTTTGTGGCAATCAGCATGAGCCACCACTGCCTGGTTCATGATTTTTCTAATTTTCTTGAGTCAGGGTCTTGTACCCCAGCCTAAACTGACTTCCAGTTTGTAGCTGAGAATGACCTTGAACTTGTACTTCTGACTCCTCTGTCCTAGAATGCTGTGCTGGGAGCACAGCACAGCCTACCACAGCCCAGCACAGCCTACCACAGCCCAGCACAACCTAGCACAGCACAGCACAGCACAGCACAGCATAGCACAGCCTAACCCAGCACAGCCAAGCACAGCACAGCCTAGCACTCTCCACTTGAGCTCTAGGAACCTCCTCTCATTCCAGGGCAGCTAGGCTCATGTTTTAGCCATGCCCACTTTGCTTGGCAGTCCCACCTGCTTCCTTCTGGTTCGTCCTCAAGGTTGACTGAGGAGCCCAGCCCTAACCCCTGCTCCTGCTCACTGGCTTTCATGCTGTAGTGCCTACCATGTACTTACCAAACAGCTGTCAGTCACCTGGGCTCTGCTGCTCCTGCTCACTTCGTGCCCAAGCAGCTTCCATTGAATTTACTCATCTTTAACATTGTATTCTTTAAATATTTTACCAGTTTTACTTTTCTCATTCTGTGTGTGTGTGCGCGTGCGTGCGTGTATACCAGAGTGCAGGTGCTCCATTAGGCCAGAAGAAGGCATTGAATCCCCTGGAGCAGGAATTAAAGGTAGTTGTGAGGGATTCTCTGCAAGATCTGTCATTTCTCCAGCTCCTAAAACAAAACAAAACAAAACAAAAAACGTTAATTTCTTTTGTGTGTGTTGGGGGAGGGGTGCTCTTGGTGCCTGTGTGAAGGTAGAAGACAGTGTTTTCTCTTCTACCATGTGGGTTCTAGGTCAGTTCCATGGCAGGCTCCTTTTCCTTCTGAGTCATCTTGCTAGTCCAGATTTCAGTTTCCTTTTTGCCTTGTGAGACTTTGTGGCACAGGGAGTCCCTGCAGAGCCCCGTCTGTCTCTGCTGGACACTGGAGGAGGATGTGAGGTCTTTTCGGAACCTTAGACACACAGGAGGGCTTCTTCCTTTATGTGGGTGGGCTGAGATGTGAAAAACTTGAAGAGATTCCCCCTGAGCAGCTAGTGACCTGGAGGTCAGAGACCCTGGGAACCCAGACCTCTCCTGCTGGGACGTGGCCTTTCATACACAAGACCTAAAGGTCCTGTTGAAAGGTGTTGGGGTTAGAGTATGTGGGTAGGGATGAGGCTCACTGGTGACTGTAAATGGAGATTTTCTTGTCCTGACTGCCCAGTCCCAAATAACCACTCATCGGCTGAATAGCTTAGGCTTATAACTAACTAGCTCTTATCACTGAACTTGTTTCTATTAACCTACATATTGCTACGTGGCTCGTGTCTTTACCTGTCTTCTAGCATGTCTGCTTCCTGTGCTGCTGATTGGCATCTCTCTTGACTCCACTCTCCTTCCCATCCCAGTTGACTTTCCTGCCTAACTTCCTGCCCATCTACTGGCCTGTCTGCTTTTTATTTTAACCAATGAGAGTAATATATATTCATAGTGTAGAAAAGGATTGTTCCAGCCGGGTGGTGATGGTGCACGCCTTTAATCACAGCACTCGGGGGAGAGACAGGCAGATCTTTGTGAGTTTGAGGCCAGCCTGGTCTACAAGAGCTAGTTCCAGGACAGGCTCCAAAGCTAGAGAAACCCTGTCTCAAAAAATCAAAAGAAAGAAAAGAAAAGGGTTGTTCTCAGCAGGTAACAGGACTTTTCTTCTCTGCTCTCCATCTTGACACAGACCTCATTGAGAAGTGCTCTGAAGCTTTCAGACTGTCAGTGGGTTGGGCAGTGGAGAGTCTGGTTTGTTTTTCTTAGGAAGATGTGGAGAGACTGGCTTGCCTTAGCCAGTGGCACGTGGTGGCTGCTTTCTGAACTGCTGTCTGTGGAGAGTCCTAGAGATAAGACTAAAGCAAAGCAGCTTGTGACTTGGAGGGATGGAGCAAGATTTACACCCAGTGTGTGAGGAACACAGTACTGAGCTCTGTGTGTGTGTGTGGGGGGGGTGACTTTTGGTCATTGCTTGCTTAGTAGGACTGGAACCTAGGAACCAGTGCCTATCTTTGGAGAGTCGAAGAGTGGTGAAGTACCTTGCAGGTAGCTGGAGCCAGGAGGTGACCCCTGGGTTGGTGGAGAGCCACAGTGGGCACCATGAAGGGGAGCCAGGTGCAGGATTCAGGTGATAGGTGATTGGTTTGTTGGCTGATTGAGCAGAAGCTGCCCAGCAGGACCTGGTGCTAGACAGTGCAGGGATGGGTAACAGCAAAGACACCCTACCTGCAGCACATAGTGCACTGTGGGCCCATCTGAAGCTGTTGGCATGTTTGGAAGTTGACCAGAGAACAGCCTGGTGGCCTTGAATGGGGGTGGGGTGGGGGGAGCCAGGACTGAGGATCTTAGGAGAAACAGTGGGGGGACAGGCACCAAGACTGGGGACACTAGGAGAAACAGTGGGATGTGGTGCTTCAAGACTGAGGACACTAGGAAGAACTGTTCAGGCACCAGGAGGCCAAGATATCTCCAGCAGGAAGCCTGTATGGGGAATGGAAGCCAGACTAGTGGGAACCAGGAATTGGGCCACACTCTCCACCTCCGTCAGTTCAAAGATGCTGCTCTCCCAGGAAAAAGCAGGGGTGGTGGTTGCTGCAGTGGCCCGGCTGACATTGTCCTAGCCCCTCTGCCCCAGGAACACCGTGGTGAATGGAGAATGAGTGAACAAGCGTAGGCATTGCTTTGTGGCTGTAGTGCCTCATGTGTTGTCCCCAGGAAGTGCTGGTGCAGGTGTCCCCAAGCTACTGCTAGGGCAGGGAAACAGGGTAACCCTGGAGGAAACAGTGAGTGTGCTGCACAGCCCAGCCATGGCAGAGGAAGAAGGGAGTCTTGGGCCTGCCTGTCCCATGCCTGCCCTGCAGCTCCAGTCCTGAGGAGCCACAGGCTAGCCCAGCCCTTGCAGTTGTCTGCCTGGGTCCCATACAGAGCTGTCTGCCCAGTCTTGCCTTCAGGGGTCCCTAAGCCCCATAGGTCACCTGCTTGCTAAGTCTCCACAGTCACACAAAGTGTAGAAGGTCATTGTCATCTCCTTCTGACTCCTGCCGGCTCCCTGTCCCCCTTCATCTTCCTTTCTCTTTTGCTTCCATGACTGCTGTCTTTGAGCAGCCTCACATGGGCAAGGTGAATGGAGACTGGGTAGACAGTAGAGCAGGCTTTTCAGGCTGGTGTGTCTGAGGATCTTGGGGAGGTGCCCCTGAGCCCCTTGCCTGGCATTCCTGGTGCCAAGGTGTTTATCACTGGATGTGCCCTCTGTTGACCATGCAGAGGCCCTGCCTTGCCTTCTTCCTGACCCCACTCTGCCCTGTCATTTCCCAGAAGCCCTGGCCTGGAGCTCCATTGTCCCTGGAGCCAGGTCTCCAGCAGAGCAGCCTGTGGGCCTGGAGGGGCTGTGGTGGGCTGATGGAAGATTTTTACTCTCTTTACAGTGTGCAAGGAGCCCCCCTACAAAGTGGAGGAATCGGGCTATGCAGGTTTCATCATGCTCATCGAAGTGTACTTCAAAAACAAGGTGAGAGACTGGGTGGGTGGGGGGTGGGAAGTACCTGTGACTATGGGTGTGAAAGAAATGGGGTTAAGGACAAGCACCTGTCAGCCCAGCTCAGAGGCTGAGGTCATGGTCCCAGCCCACACTGCCTAGGGGGACACTGACAGGAAGAAAAGCAGAAGCTTCAGTCCCATCAGCCCAGAGGAGCAAGTGGATCTTAGGGAGCAGAGTGGGAATGAAGAAGGACACAGAAATCTCCAGTCCAGTGAACTGGGTGGGACTCAGAGAAACAGAAATTGCACCCTGGGGGCGGGGGCGGGGAGGATGTGAATGCAACTGAGCGGGGAGGCTGGACAGGGTGGGGAGCTGTTTATGCACACAGTGTGACAGGGAAGCACATTTAGCTACTCTCTATTGGAGCAATCTCAGTAGGGGACCAATTTGTAGACTATCAGCACCCAAGGGGAGAACTTGTAATTGCTGTGTGGTGTGTCCCCCCCCCCCCCAACTAAGACTTTCCTATTCCTTTGAGCCTGAGGCTATGGAGTTAGGAAAGAACCCCACTCTCCTGCACAGACCTACTGATTCTCTAAATGCCCTAGACTGGCAAGTGGGGAGGCTGGGGAAGCTTTGTCAGTGCTCCTGAGTGAGTGGGGCACACAGGAGTAGTGGACATGCAGAAAGGGACTTTTTTTTTTTTTTTGCAAGGGTCAGCTAGGGCAGCACACAGCATAAGTGCATTTTCAACAGCCTGCATCTGTGCTGTTCCCTCTGGCATACAGCAGCCAGCAGTGGCACAGGGCACCCAGGCATTTTCCTCCAGAGTTTTCACTCTGTATGCTGGGAATCTGCGCCGTGCCAGTTTTCTTATGATTCTCTGTATTTCTTATAAGTATTTACTCTGTGTACACACTCGAGTGAGACACACATACACGCTTGTGCAAACACGCACTCACTTAGAGGCCAGAAGACAACTTGTGGTAATTGGATTCTCTCCTTTTACCAGGGGGCTTTGAACTCAGGCCTTCAGGGTTGGCAGCAAGCACTTCCACCCGGTGAACCTTCTTAGACGCCCTCTTTCAGTTGTTTGGAGGTCTGTGATGCCTTGTGGACCCCTTGAATGGTGGTACAGTGAGAGTATGTTTTCCTGAAGTATGTATGTGGGTATGCTTACATGTGCGTATGTGGAGGCCAGAGTGTGTCTTCAGAGACTCGGTGGCTCTCCGTCCTACCGTGTGAGAAAATAAATGGCCTCTCTAGCTTGGCTGCAGTGAGCTCCAGGCATTGTCTGTCTCCCAGTTTTCAGGCTCAGGAGTAAGCAGCCTCATGCTTGTGAACTTTCACAGTGAAGCCGCCTGCCCAGGCCCTGATGCGTATCTGGGAGCATCACACTTCATTCTGTTTATATCAGGCCTGCAGGAGATTTGAGAGTAGCAACGAACCATTCTGTTGGAAAAGGCCTCTGCTGCTTAGGGTTCTTGTTCCCTCCGAAGCCCCAAGTCTTGAGTCCTTGTTTATATCAGGCGTGCAGGAGATTTGAGAGTAGCAACGAACCATTCTGTTGGCAGGGACTTGTGGGGACAGGCTCAGGTGTGCTGCCTCATGGGACCAAGTGCCATTTCAGTGGATTGTAAGCACACCAAGTCTCAGCCATGCCCACTGGCTGCAGGGATGAAGCCAAGGTCATGAGTTCCTCCCTGCAGCCCTCAGTGATTGAGCCTTAGGACACACACAGCAGTCTTTCCTGCTATGATCTAGGCTCGGGCCAAGGGACTGTCGCCTGTCCTGGGGCAGTTGAACCACTTCTGGGCTGACAGGCTTCCACGTCCTGGAGTCACACGGGCTGTTTGTAAGCCCCCTGTGCTCAGAGGCCTTGTTGTCCCTGACATCTGTGGGCATTTCCCTGCCTGGCCAGGCATGTGGGATGGCTGGGCTCTGGTTCTTAGGCACTGTTCCAACCCAGCTCCCCACAGCCCTCAGAGGTGTGCTCTAGAGCCTGTCGTGCTCATAGCCGGGGAGACTGTGGTGAACATGTCATGCCGTGGAAAGCACAGTGCTCTGAACATGGGTAAGGTCTTGGCTTTGTGGCTGGCAGAGGACAGAGTGGTCTGGCTTTCTGATTGCAAGGTCATAGTCAGATATGTCCCTGTGTCCTCACAAGCTGTTGGTATTCCCAGTTTCCAGGGGTGGGACAACACAGAGTTCCTGGACTGGGGCGCTGTACAGAGGCCTGGGTGGAGGCTGTTTTCTCCTGTTGCTCTCCCCAGTCTATCTGAGGCACTTCCTAGGGTGGGGCTCTGTCTGCACCTGGCTGGCTGGTCAAGTGTGCCAGCAAGAGGGGTGGGCTGCTCTATGAGCTTGGTCTCTGCTTCTCATGCTCCTTGGGGAAGGGCTCTCAAGCTTCCAGCAGCCCGCGGGTGTGATGAAGTACAGGCTGAGCTGGTTGCTCATGTGCCACCATGCCCTCTGGGTCCAGAGTGTACAGGTCTGCTTCACCCCACAACCACACCAGGTACCAAGGCAGCTCTGTCCCTACGCCCTTTCCTTAGGGGAGAGGTACTGCCCTGGGACCTCAGAAGGTGCAAGACAAGTGGTTGAATTCTCTGTCCCTGATGTTCTTCAGGGATCCCTAGGGCTTCATATGAGCTGCAGGTCAGGCGCTGTCGTGAACCCCTTGTTGTCTCTGGGCTGCTGATCATGCACACAGTGTTATGTCCCCATATGTCCTGGGGCAGTTCTTGGCTCTGACTAACTCCTCACAGCTTCTCTCAAGTGGTGAGGCTCTTGGAGTTTGTATGGACATCTATATGATGGTTTCCTGCCTGTGCACACACTCCCAGGACAAAGGCTGGCCCAGGGAATTGTGTCCCTTCAGGAGTGAGTCCCCTGGAGGGAGCAGCCTGAGCTGTGGTCACACCAACAGTGCTTAAGTTGAGCATGGTCCTGCCTCCTCATCACCCATGCTGTAGATATTGGCATGCTGAGAGACAGGGAGAGGAGCTGCTCTGAGTCTGCAGGTCAGTGCCGTGACCTCAGTGTGGTCTGCAGGTTGTGTTCACACATTGCCTTGTGGATCTCTCCTGGGGAGGTTTGCTGAGGATTCGATGCTGGGGAGGAGTGTCAGTTAAGCACCACACTGGAAAAATTTTGAGCCAGGACCTAGTGCAATCACGAGCTTCCTGACTGTAGGCCTACGCCATTCTCCACCATCTCCTGCCTCAGGGTGGCGCCATGCCAGTCACACAGCTGTGGTTTGCATGTTGCTCTGGGTAGCTGCTAGACGTGTAGGTGACACACTGGAGGCACTCAGATCTACCTGCCACCGTACCCCTGATGTGCGGAACTGCACATGACGTGCAGATGTACATGGTCCTCGGATGTTGTCAGTGTTCTTGGAGGCCAGGCGGGATTACGCGCCCTCCCCCCCGCCTCAACAACAGCAGAAAAAAACACGGGCTCTGGTTGGCATACTATGCTTGGATCTCAGGACTGATGGTGTCACAGTGGCTAAGTGACCTCTCAGGGTCTCAGGCTGTGAGCTTACGTTCTGATGGGTTAGTGGGCAAGAGCCCCTTTGTGGTGCCCTTTGTGAATAGACCCTTTGTGGTCTATTCACGTGTTTCCAGGGCTTTCAGCACCAGCTCTACTTAGAGACTGGATAGTCAGTCCCAGGGGAAACCATGTTTTTCTTATCAGCCCTTTTGTTTCTGGCCAGTGGGTGACTTTGTATGTGCCTCTTTAAAGATCCCTCATTTAATGTCTGTTGATTGTGGACATCATTGAGGTGGCTGAGCCGCCATTCTTGACCGGCCTGAATCATGCTGAGTCTAACAGTGTTTATCAGGATGTAGAGAGCACCTTGGCTGTTTGCACGTGGCCAGCCACACCTGAGGTCCATCCCACCTGTCTCCTGCACTCAGCATACTCTCAGGGGCTACCTTAAACACCCTGTTGTCAGAAAGGATGAGATTTGTCAAGAGGCACTGGCAGCAGACAGGTTTGTTGCATGTCAGGCTGTCCTGCGGAAGTTACAGACATGGGACCCCAGGTGGGGATCAGCCCTGCAGCTTTTCACCTGTTGTTGGGAATGGAGTGACCGTGGCAGCCACAGTGGCATCTACGCACTTTCACTGGTTTGTTCTGGGAGATGCTGGTGGAGGCACTGGCAGGGACCTGGGAGGAGTGGGGGGAGCGGGAGGAGTTGGGTTCTGGCTTCACTCTGTGACCAGCTCCTTCATGGTGGTTGCACCATTTTTCTTTTCACCTGTGATGAGACTTCCTGTGTCTGTGTGGCCTCAGCCATGCCTGCTCTCTATTTAAGCCATGGCCCTCCCCAAGGACGGATGGATGGATTCTCTTGTTGAGATTCTTGACATTCCCCGTTGACTCACAGGGCTGGCATCTTCTGGTCACTGGTAATTTCTCTTTAGAGAACATGCTCCATTCTCAGATCTGATGTTGCTGCGAGCTCTTTGTGTATCCTGGCCTGGTGCAGCCGGCAGGTGTCTTCTTCTGTCTGCAGTTGTTTTCTTATTTTTGTCCTTATGTACAAAGATCGCACCTTTCTATGAAATTTGGTTATCTGATTGCTTTTTTCAAGACAAGGTTTCTTTTCTGAGTTCAAGACCAGGCTGACCTTGAACTCAGATATACCTACCTCTCTACTGAGTGCTGGGATTAAAGGTGTGCACCACCAAGCATGGTTTTTCCGTATATATATTTGTGTGTGTGTGAATGACTGTGGTATCAGGTCTGTGACTCAGTTGCTGTCTGAGGTCATAGAGGCTGTTTTAGGGTTTCTATTGTTGTGACAAAACATCATGATCAAAAAGTAAGCTGGGGAGGAAAGGGTTTATTAGGCTTAGACCTCAGCATTGCTGTTCATCATCTAAGGAAGTCGGGATGAGAATTTAAACAGGGCAGGAGCTGATGTAGAGACCATGGAGGGGTGCTGCTTACTGGTTTGTTCTCCATGGCTTGCTTGCTCAGCCTGCTTTCTTATAGAACCCAGGACCCAACATGGG